CTAAGCAGATCTCTAAGCATTTCCTCTCGGGACTTGAAGGACTTGAAAGGCCTTGAAGACATTAGGTGGGTTGTGGGAAGCAGTGTGAACTAATGGGGAGAATGATGGACTCTGCCTCTGTAGTTCTGGGTTGTCGGAGCTGTCACTGACTGTCCTTGTGACTGTGTATGATCGCTATTTCTTGATCTCTTTTCTGTGAAACCCAGGTATTAATACCTTTTTATATCTATTATAAAGTGTTTCAAAAATTTATTGCTGAAAATTCTATTTAAAAGCTAGGGTTTATCAATACTAAGTGTATTAACCCAGCTTGATTGTTTTGTGTTTGAAATTATTTTCATTAAGAAGGTTGCACACAGAAGATGCAAGGACTGTGTTTTCTTCCCACTGCAATATCAGAACAGTGCAGGGAAAGTCATAAATATAGGACATAAAACAGCATCTATGCATTCATAAGGAGTGGATTTGACATTACAGTCTTCTTTAGAGTTGCACAATAAGTTACTCAATTAGAATTCTAATTAATTAAAATCGCATATTTTGATACCAATAGCCAAAAGTGTGATTCCTTTCTGTTTTTCTTTTTCAAACAGATGAAGTGTGCCAGCCAGAATAGCGAAGGAACTGTTGGTTTGTTGACTTACCCTGTGCTTCAAGCAGCAGATATTTTGCTGTACAAGTAAGAGGCAAATGTGAGCCCATGGGGAGTGTCCATTCAGCTGCATTAGAATGAATGTTCATCAGGTCAACATTCTAACTTATTGAGTGAGGGAGTTGGGTTTGATTAGATCAGAAGATTGGAAATGGATGACAAATTCTCAAGTGGCTGGTTGAAATCTACCTGGGTTAAAAAGCAACTGACAGGGCTGTAAAGAGAAAAAGCTGGTCACTTGAGAATAATTCTTAGGGAATTGTAACAGATTGATGTTTACATATTACATTCATACACATATATATAATTTTTTAAGTAGTTATGCTTTATTTTATGCAGTATGCTGTAGAGGTACTCAAATTGTATGTAGTGTAGGCCTGTTCATACTGCTGAAAAAAGGTGAGTAATTGACCACACATTTTAGTGGCTGGGCTGGTTCGGTTTTCCTTGTGGTGTACTGTGTTCTGCAGTGGACATACACCCTAACGAGGGGCTGGGGACTCAGCATACCTAAGCCTATAGCCTAGCTGACAGAACTTGAAGTGCATTGTCATGACTGGTTGTGTTTCGTAGTATTATTTAAACTGTGTCAGGAAATAAATGTTAGAGATGATGCACTATGTATTAACTGTTTTTATGTTCTGAGCATATGTGCTTTTTGGCATTGTTCTGAATAGAAGTTGTATTTGTTGGGACAGAGAAGTAATACAGAACTATGAGGATGGGGACTTTAGGACAGAGTAACCAAGATTAGCCAGTTGTTAATTCAGAAACATGTATCTAGAGAAATTTAATCATAAGTGATCGTAGTAGAGGAGAGCAGAACTGTTAGAAAACTAGTAGATGATATTTCTAATTCACTTGAATTTTAGCTGAAAATAATGGGAAGCAGGCAAAAGTCAGAATGAATTTGAACATTATGATCATCTTGGCAGTGAGGCCCATTTGATTGTCAAGCAAGGGTTTAATTTAGGTGAAAGGTGTAAGGGTGAAATTTAAATAATTTTATCAGAAATCATCTTGTTTTGATTGAGCTCAACCATGTATGTCTCTTCCATATGTAATAAGATCATGTGATTCATCTTTCCTTAGTAAAGGCAGTGATTTGTTTACTACTCTCTGTATTAGCAGCAGACTGTCCAGACAGAGCACAGAACAAGGAAGTAAAAGGAAAAAAATATGTCTTTGAAGAAATTTGACATATCTTTAATAAGAAATGTTTTAATGTAAAAAAAAAAATATAAGGAACAAGAATTAGGGGAAAATGGAAACACAGGAAGGAAATGGCAGTCATGAAGAATAATCTAGAGCTGGAGGAAGGGCAGAAACGGTACTAACTCAGATTAATTGAGGATCAAAGAGACAGGAAAATGGACACAAGGTAAATATATGACAGAAAGGAGTAAAAATAGCAGTAGAACAGAAAAATATTTTTTTAAAAACCCAGCAGGGATAAAGGCAAAGAATCATGCAGAGGCATTTATCGAAATAATGTGTTTTCTGTTTAGTGGCAAACTTTGTGAATATGGAACCATTTTGGCATATGGAAACATTTGTTTTGACCTGCTTAAAGTATATTGATTATGGTAACTGATTTTCTCTCTGTTAGTTATAGGCCACTGTGATTTCCTATTGGCTACTGTAACTGTTTTTAAGTTCTCTTGCTGACTGTTTGGTGGGGAACAAAGGTGGACAAGTTGATTCCTGGATGTCAGCCCAGTAATTCAGAATCGGAAGGAAAGAGTACTATGTTGAACTGAAATTTTCTGGGAATGTAAAAGATGCATAGTGAATTTCCTTGCTCTGGAACATATCCAGGATTCGGAGCTGAATACCCCACTAGCCTTAGTAAAAAAATCTGCTGGGGGATGGGAGAGTAATCAAAAGCTGGCAAGACTTCAAGTCTGCCTCATCTAGAAGAATCATGCGTTCTTTGCAAGTATGATTAACTGTGGGAAAGAATTGCTGGGGAAAATAATGGATTCTTTACCTCCTTGTGTCCTCTGATGCAGATTGTGTTTTCCTCCAGAAGTATATTCAAGCCATTGAGCTCAATGCAGAAGATCAAATGGTCCTTTGAACCTAACAGTTCTAATCTACTAATGATAACACTTGTGACAAAAGAAGCACTGGCCCACATGATATTTATACAATGGTGACCCTTGAGGAAGAACCACTCTCTTCTTTCCTTCCCTTGATAAATCCTTAGTACTAACTTCTCAACAACAGTTATGTTTTCCTGAGACGTGACATGACAAGGGGCTTGGCTTTATGCCTTGCAGATCTTTCTTACTTTGTTCACACACTATAACACGTGCTCTTTGATCTCTAAAGAGACAGCAGGAGATACTACAAAAACCTTTCTTGGAGCTGAGTATAATGAGTTGCTCTTACAGGTAGCTTTACTATATATGTTTTCACAAAGGACTATTTGAAGATGTTCAGTTCAGCACAAAAAACAGACTTATCCTGGGATACATTCAGTTTGGGATCATGTTCCCACAGTGCCTATATCTAGCTGGGATTGAGTGCTTGGCTCAATCTGGCCCTCAGTCATGGCAGAAGCTGTGACAGTCTTGAGTAACATTTCAGCAGAACCAGAGAGCTTTGCTGAGTTTCCTGTATCTGTCTTTTATTAAAAGGTCAACACATGTTCCTGTTGGAGAAGATCAAGTCCTGCACCTGGAACTAGCCCAAGATATAGCACAACATTTCAACAAGAAATATGGAGAATTCTTTCCTGTGCCCAAAGCCATTTTAAGTGAGCTGGTCTTGGTTATTTTTTTTTCCCCTTCACTTCAGGGTTGAAGATGGATTTCAATATTGTGGAAATAGTTTCAGGGACCAAGAAAAGGGAACAAACTGCTGCTAAGGGAGTGGAAAATTAAAAACTGACAACAAGAGACTAGAGGCTGTGAAATTGAACTCCCAAGATAGACATAAGGCTTCACAAATCTCTGGTAGAGGAATGTATGTGACGTCTGGTATTCTAGTCCCGGGGGCCAGATGCTCTCTGCTGCTGCCAGTCAGCCTTTCTCTGTAAGTACTGGACTTCTTAAGAGTAGGGTCTCTGTTCCATGTTGCCAGTTCAGGAGACATGAATGCAACAAGGCAAGAGACGTCTAGCAAGCAGAATTCTTCAATGGCCGAGTGGTAGATGTTTGCGTTAAGTATCCTAAACAGCCTGTGGGTTTATTGGTACGTGCTCAGAATTTTTTAAGGGTGTTTAGTATATACTTGCATGTTTCAGTGCAGACCTCTTACAGACCTTAAGACTTTCCAGTTTTGATCTTAGACTCAGGGAGCTTTATAAGGAAAATCTTCTCAGCCATTTTTGAGCTATAAGGTCACAAGTTGGAGAGTTAGGAGGAGTCAGATGGTGCAAATGATGTCTGTTAAGAAACGTGAAGAATTGGGCAAGGAAGAAGCATTGCATCTTTGTTGTAAGTAATGCAGAGGAATGCACAGCAGAGACCTTCACGCCCAAAATAGCAAGGAGTTATCACCTTGGAGAAGACAGATGCTAATAAACCTTTCTCAATTTTCAAGCTTCAGTGACAAAAATGGTGTTAGACCGAGGATGGAGCTCAGAGAATACTAGGTACTGCAAACTCTAAAGTTTCTAATGAGCAGTTGAATACTAAGCACTATAAGAGGAGCTCACTGTAGCCTATGATGCAGGTGAGACTGTTTACCATTAAATAAAAAGCTCAACTTGGGAAAATAAGAAAGAATGTTTCACTTTGCCACTTTGCTCATGGAAAGTATTCCTTTATAAGTTCACAAGTATATGCAAGCCAAAAAAGTATTCTAGATGAATGGAGAAGCTGGGGACCTATTCAGACTCACTAGCTATAAGCAATTGAATTACTTGGACTCCTTCAAATTTATGGTAGAGACTGTTCCAAAAGGTGATTCAGAACGGTGCATTTTCAGGGCAGTTTGAATTCTATGCTGGAAGAATCCTTATCCTTTCACTGAGTACAAAGACCATCTATGAGGACTGTGCAGGTAATTTAGTTGGCTGTATTAGGTGTCTAAAAACAATTGACGTGAGTACTCTCTAAATGAGTGATACTTTATGTGCTCTGTGAATGATGTGTCTTGGTGAAAGACTGAAATAGTTTGGGTTGATGCTGTTAAAGTGCATCACAATATTTCCCTGATGCTACTATTCTATTTCATGTGCATGCATCTTAGCAATTTGTACAATACCCACTCCTTTCTTATCTGAACAGTGCTTTACCTCTAACAGAGCTGGTTAATGTTCAGTTGGAGAATTTTAGGTGACTCATAGAATCAACCAGATTGGAAGAGACCTCAGAGATCATCGAGTCCAACCCTAATAAATGTCTTTATTGAGATTTAGAAGAATTACCAAGAGATTTGGTGGGGAGAGTTTCTTGAAGTAAGGAGATTAACTGTTCTGGGATTCTCTTTTACCAGTGGATTTAACCTATTTCTTCACTGTTACAGAACTTTTCAGTAATGTGCAGTCCATGCTCTCTAGGAAACTTGTCCTGGTGCCAGTAATACAAGGGAGGAGAAATTTTCAGGGAAAATCAGCATGTTAGCTACATGCTAGAATATTAAAGTCCCATAAGAAGTTTCTGCTTAGTGAGGATGGCAGAGATGGAGCAGGTTTCATTCACTTTATGGGAGGAGAAAGGTGGCTTCTTAGAGTGACAGGGAAGGCATAAGGACTAAATAGAGTGTACGTGATTGTGCTCACAACTCATTTTTCAGCAAAGATAAACAGAGTTTCATAATGTTGCTGCAAAGTGTTCTTAGCAGTTGTCATAAGAAACCATTGTTTGTGTTCATAGTTATTCCTTTTTTTTTAAGGTACAACAAAGAAAGTAAAATCCCTCAGGAATCCGACAGTGAAGATGTCCAAGTCAGACCCACAGAAGTTAGCTACAGTTAACATAACAGACAGTCCTGATGAAATAGTGCTGAAATTTCGCAAAGCTGTGACTGACTTTACTTCTGAAGTGACCTATGATCCAGACAGTCGCCCTGGTGTCTCCAATCTGGTGTCTATTCATGCTGCTGTAACAGGGCTCAGCATTGAAGAAGTGGTGCACCAAGCCACCGGTCTTGACACTGCTCACTACAAAACAGTGGTAGCAGAGTCAGTTATTCAAAAATTTGCACCTATCAGGAACGAAATCAAAAAACTCCAGGAAGACAAGTTCCATCTGATAAAGGTTTTAGAGGATGGAGCAGAGAGAGCCAAAGAATTGGCTGCCCCCATCTATCAAGAAGTAAGAAGACTTGTGGGATTTCAATAGAAGCTGCTATGTAGTTTCAAGGACTTTTGTATCATGGGACAGATATTTTGTTATTTGTAACAAAATCATTTCTTAATTATTAATCTTTTTGGTTGGAAATAAATGCTTTTTTTTTCTGGAAGATTCAAGTAGAACACTCAAGGTGATTGCATTAAAAAATGTGCAGGAAGCCAGATATTTCCAGTGGAAACAGCATTAAGCTTGGCTTGGATAGTCAAAAGAGGGGGGCCAGAAGCAATCGCACTTCAAAAAGAAATCACACAAAAGCTGAATATAAGGTTACCTATATGGAGTTTGGGATTTTTCCGTTGTCTACTGTGGGAAGATGAAGTATAGGAGAGTTGATAAGAATCTAGCAGAAAGATTTGTAATCTTCTCTAGAACATACTTAGCTGTGCATGTGATCTTGTTACAGATGGACAATTCATCTCATTGGGGGATATTCAGCTTTGATATAGTGGTTGAACATGTTCTTGGCTACCCAGAATAAAAGCAGAGACTTACAAATAGATGCTCTGGGTGATGAAGAAAGAATTTATTGTTTCTCCTTATCGTGTCTTCAAATTAAGTGTGACTTTTGTATATGTGTAGCTTGTGTGAAGTGAGTCAGTGTGTCTCTCTAAAACTCACTGGATACTGTACTCAATGACTTCTTTGACAGTCACTCCAAAGAATCCAGAGAGTGGACTTGAAATACACTTCTGCCACCTGTGCCATCCTGCTGGTCAGGTATGAGGTACTCGAGTAAAAAAATGACATGTGGTTCTGCTGCTCCTATTCCACCTGCTGTTCTGTTTAGCAGGGATCTTCAGGATTTTCAGTTCAGCATCAAGTCTAGGATTGCTTTAGAAAAGCTGTAGAGGAGAAGACGTAATCCTGAGTCAAAGAAATCTTAGGTCAAGAAATCAAAGAACTTTCTGTAAAGATACAAAATTACTTGCTTAGAAAATTGTGCCAAGGCCTGAGCCAGAATGGAGTTAAACAGATCTTTATGAGCTCTCTACTACTGAACCTCAAGAAAGCCCAGTGACAGAATGGTGTTAGCCTGCACGATCTTAGGCCTCACAAGACCTACAGACTGGGTCTGTGGACCATGGCATTTGTCAGGGAATGTGTGGCAAAGGGAATTGCCTAAAGGAGACATCATGTTCTGAAAAGGGGGTAGCAGTGCATGTTAAAAGATAATGGAAGCCCTACTTGTCCTGTGCCAACATATTTAAGTGTATCATTACATTTCATGACGCTGTGTTTGAAATTGCTATACTGCAGTGTAAATTGGGTTACTCCTGTACTCTGGCAACTCATAACCATTATATGCCATGGCATTTGTCATGAAGGATTGCACTCTTACATGAGTGAGTTAGTAAAACTGGGCAGGGTGTGTGTTTCTGCATAGTGCAGTTGTTTGGTTGGTTGTTTTGGTCATTATTTATTTTTAATGCTATTTAATTAACTATAGTGAGTTGATTCAGAAAGAAATACTTAATTTTTCAAAACATAAAATTGAGAACTGAGCATCTCCAAATCTGTTCTGAGACCTATATTTATTTGTTAGGGATCTAAAGAAGAGAACTGCAAGAACTTGATGATGACAGTTTCTGAAGTCAGTCAGGACTAGAGATGCAGAGCGGAATAATCAGAAATCAAACTCAGTATAGACAAGTCCAAGGTAATGTCCTCTGGAAAGAATAAATATATTCAAAAATTGTCCCTGATTTTAAGTAAGATGTAGTGGATTAGGAAAGGACACAGTTATAACAGTGCATATTTAGGTAGTTTTACAAAGCTTCTGTCAGCGTTTAACAGCTGCGTGAGTCTGCTTGGGAACCAAGACAAAAAGTTAAGGCACACAGTTAACTGCTGCCTAGTGACTTGGCATAAACTGTTCACTGTGACACTATTTAATATGGATTGATTTCTGCAAAGGCCTCACGATATGTTGCTTAAGAGAAGTTAACACAGTGCTCATGAAGGCACTGAAAATCTTTAGCACTAGTGTATCTATTTTCTATCTGTACCACTTTTTCACTAGCAAAGGTAGGAGCATATATTCAAAAGACTAATCATAGCTTCATGGTGTCTTTACACTTCTGATACTCAAATCTCCTAACATATAGGGTTGCCATTCAACACACCCTTTTTTTGCAATGGAAAGGAAATAGGAGCATTCATGGGAGGGGTTGACATCAACAGGCAATTTGCGTTTGTTACTCAAACTGGTCTGAGCAGTCCTCCAAGACTTTTAGATTTGTTCAGAAAATCATGTAGGTGAAGCAAGAAGAAAAACTTGAAATGAGCCTTTTCTTTGGGGTGGGCTTTAATGCTTCATATATTTAGCAATGTTTCAATCAAATCCACTAATTTGTCTCTTTTTAATTCAATAATAGATTGGGGATTTTCCCTTCCCTTTCCCCTCTCAGTCAAACAAATCTTACTTGCCTGACCTATTTCCTTCAAGTAAGGAAATATTCCTGGGTTTCGTCTTCAGGAAAGTTAAACTTGTGTAAAATGAGTATGTTCACCTACTGGTTGTTGACTTAGCTTTTTATTTTAATTGCTTATGTGGAGGAATTCTCAAAATAAAAACTGCATCTGCGCAGGGAAATAATCCCAGTTCCATTAACAATCATGATCTTTAGAGTCCCCTGAGAAGGGCAACAAATGCAGATATTTGCAGGTATCTGTTGCCTATTTCAGTTTTCTTAGGGCATGGCTTTTATGCAAAGTTAGCCATCTTGGCATTCAGGTTGTTTATCTGAACCTAGCCTGGCTGCCTCTTTGCATTTCTCCAGCCATTTACTTGACATCTGAAAGAGTTCGCAGGAGGAAGCTGAGCTTGACGCAACGTGTGCTCAGTATTATCAGTAAAAGTGGTTTGGTTCTAAGCTACTCTGATCTCTTTGGTCTTCTTCTACCTCCATGTTTCCTCTTCAGAATGTTTTTGTAAGCACCCATTCTCTGTGGTGTTCTGTGACAGTGTTTATGTTATCAAAGTAGTGCAGATGACTTAAAATATCTGTTTAGAGAACAGTTGTTAGAGAAGACTTGATGCTGTGTATTTCAGAATTACTTGTTTCACTCTAACTCAGTCCAGTGTGCTGGGGATTTACTGTTTGTTTACATCTGAAGTGCAGTAGGGGCACTTCTGAAATGCATTTTCATGATTGTTTATATCCAGATCATATTCCCTGAGACCTCTTCAAGAGAAGAGACTTGATGTCAATTGAAGGGCAGTTGGTGGGGACAGTGGGGAGCTTTTGCAAAAGCACACTCCTGATCCCTTCTGCAGTGCTAGTATAGACATGCCCTGTAGTATTGTGGAAGTCACATTTTAGGGTGTGCTTCCAGGACTGGGTGGGAGAAAGGTCCAAATACATCTTTCCTAGCTGAAGAAAAAAAGACTTGAAATAATTTGGGTCTTAGTCTCAAAATTTTCTCTTTTGCCATTCCTATGTGTTAGTCCATCTGAGATAGATATGTAGGGGTTGGGATCTGCAGTATCAGACTCCTGGTAAGATTCACTTACCTTTAGAGATAAAACATCAACTCCACAATTAATAACTTGCATGTCTAACAGAAATATTTGTATGTTTGAGACATTTATCTTTGCAGCCAGTTGTTCCTAGGAAGTCATCTTACCACTTATCAGAAGACACCAATAGTGAGTCTCAGTTGTGTGCTCTCAACTTAGAGCACAGAGTTTACTGAGAATTTTAGATTCGGGAACAATGTTTACTTCAGCAGAGACTCCAAATGACAACTGGCCCCATAAATCAACTCTGGCACTGCTCCAGCACACATCCCTGCTTCAAATAACTGCAGTACATGTATATTGTACTTTATACTGGAATTTGATTGTAACTCTTAAAGATGTGATTGAAGTATACTTAGTTTTCAGACACCATGATCTGCCTTCTCAGAATCTCCAGAAGGCCATGTGCATAGTTCTGATTCAGTGTGTGTTTATCTACAAATAATTCAAGCAAAGCTCCTTAGCAGGATTATGGCTGCATCCATTGAAGGTTAGGGAGTTCGTAAGAGTGCACTGAAAGTCTTACGGAAGGACAATGAAATGGGATCCTTGAGGGCTGACCTGCATCTAAATATTTTGGGACCGTAGATTATCAAAGCAGATGCTTTCTTACCCTTGGTTAGGGCTATCACAATCCTGACAATAGTATAGCAGTAAATTCTGCTGATGAAAGCCTTTATGTCGTCTTATGTAGGAACTCTGGATCTGATTTGTTGAGGACTGTACTATAACATGAAACTTTTCTGGTCTCCACAGTTTGCTAGATGATTGTGACAGCAGAAATCTGTTTGGAAACCATAAACCAAAGCCAAATCTAATCCAAAGCCTTTGGGTGTTTTCCCAAAAATGATGATTTCACAAAGCAGCTTATTTTTTATAAGCTACAAATCCAATTTCAGTAGTTGTTGTGGGATCACTAAGAGCCAGACGTCCATTCTGAATGACTCATTCAATACTACTCTGATCCACGTTCTGCTTATCCATACGGCTCAAGGTTCATGACAAAACTCAGAGAGGGTCTGTGTGTGGTTCTGGTAATAGCAACAATATGGACCCAGGTGGATTTGAGTCTTAAATCTAATGTGCATGCTCTTTCAGTGGTCCAGCTTGTTTAGATTTATGTTCAGGACAACAGATGGATCTTTCACCATTTTGGTCTCCACATTTGAGTTCTTGAATGCTACCTGCCTGTTTACTTTTGACTGATTGACTGCTTCACAGAGAGAAATAATCTAGCAAGCTGGCATAGGGAGTGTAGTGAAAAAGGTTTTCTGTTCAGGAAACCTGTTCTTGGCAGGAAAACAAAAGCCTAATGTATTGGACCGTCTAATTTGTTTAAAATTGTTTGATCTGTTCATTCTTTCTGGGTAAGCTTGACAGTGGCTGCAAGAAGAATGAAAATGATTTCTAGTCAAAAGCCTTGGAAGGACCCAGACATCATCTCTCATCATCTTGGAAGTCCCTTACA